ATTTTAATGAACCTTTGAGCTCGAATACTGTTCGATATCTCCACATATTTCATTCTCCGAATTAAAAAAAAAAGTGGTACAGGCCCATAGAACGCAGTGGCGGTGGGACCTTTTATTTCCCGATTATAGTCTTTTGATGTGGTAAGTTTCCATTTAGATGCTCCCCACACACCACTTTTTGTTGTTGCAAGGTCGAATACTGGCATATTTCTGGATTTGAAAAAAAAGAACCAAAAAGTTGAGAGGACCAACCCAGCACTTTTTTTCGTTTTGTTTGTCAGATTTTTAGGAAATCAAATACATTGAGTATCATGATAACCAAGTGTTTCGGAGTTATCCCCAGTTCATCTTTATATTTTGCTAGATATTTAAGTGGTTGATATCATCGTCCAACAACTCCCTCCTCAGTGAAAATCAAAATTTTGAAGCCTTATTGCACGTCTACAGGACAACATTTATAGTATTCCAAAATAAATATGAGTGGGTTATACAAAATGTAAGAAGGGTTCAGGGAACCCTAGGGTAAAAATGAAAATCTTAATTTTTATCGCACATCTTCAGGACAATATCAGCCCTATTCCAAAAGATGAATTGGTCTTGCCACGACTAAAATTTTAAGAGGAGTTTGAGGAAGAAAGTAGTGTGACAGACGGACCAGGATGAAAATTTACCCGATCTTTCATTTAAATTAGATAATGTGGATATAACAATCGGTGAAATTGCATCAGTTTCTAAACATCAAACAAACATTTGAAGTGCAATTCTGTACAAGATGAACTTGCGGAATTTTAAATACACTTTGCATAGCGATTCAATTTGTTTTCAAGATATATTCTAATGTGTAGGAAAACACTTCCTGAAAATCTCTTGTTAATTATTGTACATCTTGTATCACTTAGGTAGAAATCAATACGGTCTCCTGATTAAATCCTTCCATTTGTAGAGCCATTGCATGTTGTAAGCTTGTCACAAATAACACATAAATCGCCGGTTGGCAATTCGTCAGCATTGTAATGAGAACCTTTCTAGTCCAGATTTCCCGGTAGCATCATTAAATATTGAGATAACAATTAAGACACACAAACAACAAAATCATCTTTTAAACAGAAAGGAATTCATAAAGTGTATAGCGGGTGACACTGTTTGGTTAAAATTTACCGACTTCTTACATGTATATCGGAATATCTTCTTAAGAAAATTAAAGAAAGCAAAATTGGATTTCAATTCAGGACTTTTCTGCATTATTGTAAAAAAAATTAAGACTATTTGAGGATGAATTGCAACTTCGCAAAAGAGAGAATGATCAATCGTAGAAAGAAAATCGCAAAACCAGACAATATGGACAAGACATCCGAACATCCTTCAGACTTACCCAAAATGGTTCAACAGATTACAAAAGTTATGCTAGAGATGGAAAGGAAGAAGATTTTAAGATCACAAATGGGCAATTTGTCTTGTTGGTTTTGCAATTCAAGACGGAGAGACGATTTGAGGATAAAAGAATTCAGCCGGTTTATTGACGATAGTCTAGAAATCCGACCTTGTGAATCCAATGCTTTTCTTCAGCCGTTACAACTACCGCCGTTATATAAAGGAAGAGTTCTCCCTGTTGTTCAGGATAGAAGGGCATTGTTTCCATCCCCTTGCCGAGGACCAATCAAAGAGACTGAGTGGTCGACCCTCAGCAACTGCCGTTACCTCCGTCCAGGACTTCCAAAGTATAGAAGGCAACCCTAAAAACCTCTCTGTGTCAAGAACTTTAAATCTAAGAGCATAAAGTAACATCTTAAATATTGGATAAAGAAATTGCTTTTCGGACAAAAGTGAAATATAATATTACTCTGTTTAAAATAACTAGAATTGGATAATTTTGCTTTTAAGTGCTGACATTCCTCTTGTTCATGAATGCAGCTTGCATAATTAAAAAAAACAGCAACATATATGTGATATGGAGATTATTATAAATGGTGTTTTATGTAGACAATAAATTAATTCAGTGAATTTCAATTCTTTAGCTCGACAGGAATATTTATGAATAACTTTTGTAACATTTCATTTGTGGAAGCAACAATTAAATCCGCTTTCGGTAATTTATTAATCAAATTAACCAAATCGACTAAATGATTGCTTGTCCATTTAATTCAGTCTCCTGGTGACTTTTTACCAGGTTGTTGTAACCTTGTAACATATAACTAACCTCAAACATTTTCACAGTCATAATTTCAAACATTTTCACAGTCATAGTCTTTAAAGAAATTTTGATATTCATTCTTAATTCTTAATATTTTGATATCATACTCACTCTATATTATAGCTTTTATATGTTCTAAGTATATGGTGTTTGTCGTTTTGCACTATTTTTTTTTCAACTCAGCTTCAAACTTTTATTTTCTCCTGAACCAATTTCAACCAAACTAAAAATAAAGTATCCTTGGGTGAAGGGGATTTCAAGGGGAAAAATTAAGAATGAACATTTGGTGGAATTATTTAATAATCCTCTTCTCAAGAACCACATGGGTAGAAAAGTTAAAACCGATTTGAAAGCTTCCTGAGATAATGAAGATTCAGGTTTGCTTTAACCATGATCTCCGGATGTATGGTGGGGCCACTTTGGGCAATCAGATTTACATAGGAAGAATGTTGATTTTTTTCCACTCGAGAATAGCAAAGCCACGATAAGTCATATTTATGAGGAAGCATCTTCAGGTAGTGTATATTCAAGTTTATACAAATCATGACCCTCTCCCCCTGGGGGTGAGTGGGTGGGCGAAGTTTTACATGGAAACATATCGGGGGGAAAACTTTTCGATAGCCTAGTACTTGTTCAAATCAAAACCTCTTGGTGTAGGGTTTGACCACAATAAAAATTTAAATTTTCCATAACAAAATGTAGGAGAATTTATTAAAAATACATATGTATAAGGAAGCATCTTCAGGTTTTGTAGATTCAGGTTTCTTCAAATCATACCCCCCCCCCCCCCTTTTGGAGAAAGGGGGATTGGGGCCACAATGGACAATCACATTTTACATAGGATTGTATAGGAAAAATCTTTAAAAATATTCTTCTTAAGAAAAACAAAGCCATGATAAGTCGTATTTATATGGAAACATCCTCAGGTAGTGAAGATTCAATTGTGTTCAAATCATAACCCGGGGTAGGATGGGGCCATTGTGTGTGATTTTAGTTTTATATAGAAAGAAAAAATCTGCCTAAAAAGAACGGAAGGGCAATGGTGACTCAGGTGAGCGTTGTGGCGTATGAACATCTTGCTTTATTATTGAAGTAGCAATCCATTTAACATTATGAAAACTTGGATCATTCCAAACATTACACAGTCATGTGTTTAGAATATTATGTATACAAGTTATACATGGATTACGTATTTCATTCTTGGGATATCTATCATTATGATGTTTATATATACATTGTACAGCTTATTCTCATTTCCATGGAACAATTTTCCAAGAATGATATACCCCGCTCAAAGAAGAGATATTCTGTTTTACCCTTGTGTGTCTGTCTGTGTGTGTGTCTGTCCGTAACCAATTTTTGTCGCAGTCTTCTCAGCAACTTCTCTCTGCAGATGCTTGAAATTTGAATTTTAGCACACTCTTTTGGCATGCCATATGGTGGGATTCATTTTTGTACGAATCCGATGTCATTTTCCTGTTTATTCGTGCGTCTGTCCGTACCAAATTTCCGTCGCAATTATCTCAGCAACTACTTATCGCAGATGCTTTAAATTTTAGCACACTCTTTTGGCAGTCCATATCGTGGGATAATTTTTGTACAAATTCGATGCCAACTCCCCCCCCCCCCCCAATAATTTTGCCGATATATAGAATACTGTAGAAAACATAGCTACTATATGCTTTGTCCCCTCAATAATAACTTCTGATGACCTTTTTTTGCTTGTCAAGGAAATTTTGAATTTTTGGTAGTGCCCCCCATTTGAAAATGTTTAGTTGTGCCCCTCCCCCCCCCCCCCCCCCCCAAATTGAAATTGCTTCCTACGGGCCTGTTTATTACTGTGGATGTTGACTTTCTGAATAAACTTTAATGATGATAAATAAGATGAACATTAAATGAAAAAAAAAATCATACTAAATACAATTTTTCTTCAATATGTGTATACAACTTGTGTATATTCACATGAGCATATATTCACGTCAGAGCGGGGGTATTACTAGTGAGCATTGGCTCAGAGACTTCTTGTTGATAAGAATTACAATTTAGTTTTAGCTTTGAGAGCTGAGGAATTATATTTCTATTTGTCACACTCGATGATTAATGCTTTTCTAAGACTTTGCGGTTCTTGAGAAAATTTTTCCAATGTATTCCTATGTAAAACTTAGACACCCCCCCCCCCCCCATTGTGGCCCTGTCTTAGCTCCGGGTGTCACGATTTGAACAAAGTTGAATCTATACTATGAAAAAAAGCTTTCACTAAAGTTTCAACTTTTTTGGCCCAATGGTTCTTGAGTAGAAGATTTTTAAAAGATATTTTCACTATTTCTTAATTATTTCCCATAGGAAGAGGGAGCGGCCCTTCATTTGAACAAACTTGAATTCCCTTTACCCAAGGATACTTTGTGCCAAGTTTGGTTGAAATTGGGCCAGTCGTTCTGGAGAAGAAGATGAAAATGTGAAAAGTTGACAATAACAACAACGACAGACAACGGACAGATTTCGATCAGAAATTCGGCTCGTTGAGCTAAACAGTTTGCAATAAAAGCTGTATTTATACTTAAGAAATAAATTCGTTATCCAGGCACCTTCACATCACTATTTGAAATGATAGTAAAAAGTCCGAACTTTGTCGTGTCTAGAGCTAAATACTTAATGTCGCATTGTTAAAAGCTAGGAGTATGTTTAGGCCCATGAAGCTCCTTTTCTGGCATGTTTCAGATGAGGGGTTTGAGCTTTTATCGTCTAAAAATGAGTGTTAACATATACTAAAACGGCCAGATATACAGTACATCATTGAAAATCTCGTCACTACTTTCGTTTAAATTTTATTTCCTTTTGATCTCCGTTTTTCTGACAATGCATAACTTACATCATTTTTCTGTGAAAAATGAATCAGGAAAACGAACAATAGATAAAAACAACACTTAATTGGTCAAAGGCTTTAAACAAATACCGCGTACAATGTATCTAAATTCCAAAAGTCAATTGATAAGAATATCTGGACAAGAATTCTAATGCATGAAAGTTTTCGGAACAGAGTGAAATTTAATATTAAAGAAAGAAAGGAGACATCAGTTCTACCATGTAACAGTGAAACGAATTCGAACTTAAGGAATCTGGAAGCAGCTACCAAGTGAATGAGAGCAAACAGTATATTTTTATAGCCCGATTCCTGTGGTTTTTCTCATTTAAACATTTAAGAATAATATATATCTATAATTCTATTACATTGAAGCAAAGGATTTTTTTTTTTAATTACTGTCGGTTGTGATAATTTTTTTATATTACATCAAGCAAGATCTTCTTAAGTTTTTTTCATCATGATACACACTATATAAAGATCTAACAAGAACAAATACGTGAAAATAATTCCATCAAACCCAAACATTCATAAAAGAGACAAAACGTATAAACTGGTCCATTCCAAAAAGCACTTTGTTCATCTTCAAATTCAACAATTAAAAGTAATAAATATACGAGATAACAAAGGACAAAAATGTACATTAACAGTGGTTGATATGTTGTCCAAGGAATTGCTTTCAATGTAAACCTACATGTATACGTCATATATTGACTAGCGGAACACCAAGCTGGGTTTTCAGTAAGGTATCGAGGTTGTTGGAAAACACATCACTAACATCTGACTCCGAGGCTGCTTTTTGTCGTTGTCTTTGATGAACGTTAGGGGTGTATCTTGTCCATGTCATGTTGCCTTGTGGAACCCACTCAAAACCAAGTTCTCGAGAGAGATTTATAAGAGAAGTATCCGTGAACGGAATGAAGCCGTATGCAATATCCTGTTTGGCTAAAAGTTTTCGTGTAAGGTCACTTACAAGAATATCAAAATATCCCTCTTTTCTGAACTCGGGTAGAACATAAATCATGGCTATAGATCCGTTGTACTGCATGCAGATATAGGCTAAAATTCGGCCATTATGATCTAGGAGACAGCTGCTTTCAAACTTTTCGATAACACTTTGAAAGTAGCCTTCTACTTCAACGGCGTTGCCTTGCTTCGCCCAGTCACTCTGCAATATCTTGGCATGTTCAGATTTTAATGATGACAAAGTTACCCCTTCTGGAATTCTGTAAAACAGAAATAAAATTTGCAATAAACTAGACTCTTTGATAACACTGCACTTGAAAATTTTTATCTTTTAGATTTTTGGCAAAAAATGTACGTACAGTGATCATCAATAAAACCTTCAACCATTAAGTTTGCTTACATGGGATTATCATTCAAAGCTGGCAAAATTCTCTTTTTCTTAAATACATGTAAAACTAGATGAGATCCCGCGCAAGCGCGGGGAATTGAATTTATACCACAACCGACAGAAAATATATTGTAGTTTCTACTGACAGCCTACAGGCGTATAGCAGGAAGAAATACTTTGTTCAAAATTCCGCACAAAGTACACTTACCTCACCACCCCCATCCTCCCCCCTTTTTGCAAAAAGTTGAAAAATAACAATTTCATTAATTGACGTTTATTGTGAAACCTGTTATACTGTTATGGATATTGTACTTTAGATGCTCTTATTTTATTTCCGTCAAGGAAAAAAGCACTGAATATGCACATTTTACTGATAAATTGATTGGGGGAGGGGGGGGGATTCACAGGTACTTACACGGATCTCAAAATTTAGAGGTGGGATCAGGTGCCATGGAGGAGTGAGCATCCTCTGCCGACCGGGAAACAAAAACCGGAAATATTCGTAGACAGTTCAGTGTATAAATAATGGCCTAACTATTAGTATGAAAAACATCAGTTAGCATTTGACTCAATGATACATGTGTAGGTTGCATGTGCTGACAAGGTCTTTGTATCGACCGTAAAACTTGCGAAATGATGACTTCAAACGAGACTGTTGATATCCTTGTTTCGTCAACTTGTTTGTCAATAGCTTGCCTCGTTTTAGAAATTGTTCATAGGTAGAGCATGCTCTTCCGTATCAAATCAACTGAGAGACATAAACCCCATATGCAGGTGATATGGGTATTTTGTTACATAAGTAAGGGAAGTTGACGATTAAAAAGTTGAAGTCATTACGTTTTTATCATAAAGATTTGTTGTTCGGTTACCATTAACGTCTTTTTCTAGTAAAATATCTAAATATGAAACAGATATGTTAGAATCTCTGGTATCTTTTATTTCAAGCTGACTGGGATACATCGAGTCGACATATAATGTAACTATTGTTAATTGATAATATCGTCGATATATCGAAATGGCGAGTTGAAGACCACAGCAAGTGTTTTCGTCTTCTCATGTAGAAGTTTTTGAATAAATTCTGCTTCATATGAATACAAAAATAGGTTTGCTAATAAGGGGGCGCAATTGGTACCCATGGGAATTCCAACAGATTGTTGGAAGACCTGATCTCCAAAAACTACATAGATATTGTCAATCAGAAACTCAAGCATCTATTTAATATCAACTTCAGAGTACTTGTATGTACAATCAGAGTGCTTTTTAAAGAAATAAAGAACAAGGTATGGTTTCAATACAAATCTTGCCCTGTGGTTTTCTTAAAAATGAAAGTGATGTAAAAAATTAAAACTCATGCTTTCTGAATCATTGAAATTCCATGCAGAAAGATCTTGCAAATCATTTTTCTCACATGATCTTCTAAATGCAAATTGTGACGTCAGAAATATGTGCATTTTCCCGTATTTTCTTAAAAAGTTGCAGAAGACACCATTTTTCCATAGAAATTTCTTTCAGATAATATTGTCCACAGGCATCGCCCACAAAGATTTTGAGATATGTGATTTTTCAAAGAATTTTACACAACATATCCGAAAATTATAGTGGGCGACGGCTGTGAACACTATTTTCTTAATGAAAATAACCCTTGAAATGGGTCATTTTGAGGCTTTTTCTGTTTAAAACAGAGAAATGCATCAAATTAATGACGTCATATTTCCAGAATGGTACTCTTCCATTCCATATTCTTTCCTGATTTGTCACAGTCATATACTCAACTAATATTTAAGCAAGTTTCAAAACCTTTTGAAGATATTAAATTTTTAGGGCATAATAAAGTCAAAACTGTACCTTCTTCTTTGAAAATGACCAATGACAAGGTAAGTATATTTACGCGTTCCATTTTTATTGAAAAAACAGCTGTCTATGATGTCAAAAAGCCTGGACTTCAATTTATCGTGGGGAATGGTTGTATAAAGTGTTGAAAAGTCGTACGTTTTGATGTCATTGATTTTAGTAAAATTTTGTGATTTTTTTTTTCATGTAAGCAAGTTTATTACGAAGTACAGATTGTACTTCGGGTTTGTTGCCACTATGCTCTCAGTTAGGAATATATACAAATTTTACCGATAAATTTATTAGGAAAACCTACTACATATATATGTAATAGTCTTTCGATATATAAAATTTAATATATTCACAACTTATAGTGTATGCAATGATTTACCATTATTTCAATGACCATTCACACAAAAGCTTTTTTTTTTAAGTTCATGCAGCTATAATCACTTAATTTTTTTCTTTTTAACATCTGGCTCGATGCTATGCAGTGTTATAGAAGCTTCCGTCAATATTAAGATCGGTGAATGACGAAAATAATTTGCCCATTTCCCTTTTTAATCGCTTATCACAACTTATTTCTTTTATATCATTTAAATCAAGTTTTGATAAAATAATTCAGTGATGACGTTTTATGAAATAAATAACCGATTGCTTGTTGTCAGTTTCATTAAAAATTACCAGTAACTTAGATCCCCCAAACAGAAACGCCACCGTACTCACGTTTTTTGCTATTTCATGGCCGTTTACAGAAAATGAAAGTAGACTTTTAATTTAATGTACGATACTTACTATGCGAGTGAAATCTAAATATAGTTTACGGATATTATCTTGTATCTAGTGTATTGTTAGAGGAGTAAGTAAGAACTCTGATGTAGCCGTTTCGGAGCTTATTTGCAAAATTTATTAATTTATAAGTATAGATACTTACTTAGGCATGTCTGGTGGCGTAGATTTGCTCCATGCGTACATTAATCGAGACTCCTTCGATGTTATTTGACCGCCATGTTTCCTGCAAACTTCACTCAAAACAGGTACGACATCATTAGGGACCCCTGAAAAGGGAGGAAAAAATCAGCATCTCTCATCACAACTAGGTTTTCTCTGCACTTGAATATAAGGCCATCTTATTGTATTTTGATTTGCTAAAAAAGAACTTGAAAATTGGCTAGATGAGTCATTTGGTACAAAATGTCACATTTTTAACCACGTTTTTCTAAAATTTTGCTATCTCTGGGTCATTTCTCCATGATATTGAAACGTTATTTGTGTGCATTTTAATTCAAAGAAACTAACAAACATTTGTAAAAAAATCGAGAGAAGACCCAGAGACGATAAAAAATAAACTTTTTCCAAATAAATCCCAGTGTGTAAGTGCGGTGCTTCATTGTCGCTTTAAAAACCATAAAGTGTGTGTAGCGGTGGTAGCTCAGTAGTAAGTGCTACCCGTCCAGTGCAATGTAAAAGAAATATTTTTGGTTCGATCCTCGCATGGAGCGTTTATATTTTTTTTAGTTCAAACAATCAATTCTTTTTTCAGTTTAATTTTATGTACTGGTTTATTTTAAAATAGATAAATTCAGGTTCTATTGCACCGAAAGCGAAAGCAATTCTTCCAAACTACTGATAATTTACTATATACATGTAATTGCATTTAACTATACCCTATAGGTGTTTATTATTTATGTGAAGCGTTACTAAGTTTAACATGTAGTAATTATTAAGATAAGCGGACTGATATATTAAATTTGACAAAGTATTTCAAACTAAATTTTAACATTTTCCCATGTGCGTAACTTTGTAAAGTATGTCCAGCTGTGGTCAGCCGACCAAACCGTAGACATTTATACTATAAATGTTTCGTACGCCGTATTCCTGCAAATCACACTCCAGACACGCCCATCTTCTTTGTTGAAAATAATCATTTTATGTGTCCATCTAATCAGAAGTTTGTTAACCCCAGGTGCTTGTTTCACAAGTACGTACGTATGCGGATCATGAGCGATAATTATTGCAATATACTTCACAGAAAATCTTAAATCATACTGATACCTACTCCTAGCTATATCACATTTAGGGACATGTCACTGGCTAACTATTATAAATCCTACAATCTAAAGGCATGTTATCTAAACGAAAATGGTCATTTAGCATATGTAGAAAAAATACAACTTCCTTTTTAAGAACAAAATAATTTAGGTTAGGCATTATCTGCCTTTTTTGAACATGCACAAGATAGTCTATTTTTAAACGTACGCGTATTTTGTTTGCGTTTTTGTCCTGGCTAACGTGTAACAATATCACGTGAATTTAATCCATCCAGGTAAACTGTGTCAGTAAACCACTGGGTCATGTTGACATAAAGGTTAAATATTTCAGGTCTGTTGCGTGCATGTAGGTATTACTGCACAATTGTCAATTTAATATGCACTTCTTTAATCTTTTACCGTATCTTTTTTGACAGGCACCGCATGTCTTCATTGGTCTATTAAAAAGGCAGCCAGTCAACAAAAATTGACATTCGGCAATGTTTGAATTTATTCATAATATTAAATAAAAGTGACTGTTTATATCATGAATATGTTTGTTTTTTAAAAAACTTATTTCATAACTGACAATAATGCACCATAAAGCTCTAGCTTTGTACCTAATACCGTGTTACGTCGAAGATGGCATCTTCTCAATATAAAGAGCAATAAATCTATGTCCCTCACTGCTTGCATGCAAAGACTGCGTGACTGGACAACGGGTTAACGGCCCTTTACGGCGAACATTGAACCTTTCAAATGACAGTGAGTTTGGATTTAAAATATGTCTACTATTTTTTCTTTAAATACGAATTCAAATTATACCAACCTTGAATTTATTTATTATATATTTCTTTTTTGGGGAGGGGGGTGTCAATTTAAATGTTATAAATAAGCGGATATAAGTTCATTATTGCAAAATTACAAAACAAAACTGGATTTCAGATTCTAAGAATGATAAAAAAATATATAATTATATATCTGATAAAAATTGCCTGGTAGGTCAGGTGCTTGAAGGAAAATTATATATTATAGTAAAATATAGATTTCTTACATTCTTCATTTATTTTGTTCACAGTAGAATACATTTTACATTTACATAATAAATTTTATTTATTATAAAAATAGTAATATAAACAGAAAAACTTCATTAATAGTATTTTTTTTTTCTTAAGCTGTATAAATGTGATCATCAAAATGATTTTTATTTGTGTTATCTATATTTATTCAAATAAAAAAATCAGGAATCCTACAAGTGTTCGGAACAAAAGACCTAGGTCACCTGATAAATTTACACCCTATGAGGACACTTTATAAGAATTTGTTACATGGTCTCTCTTGAAATTCTGTGTAATAATTTGATATAAATTATTGATCACACCCCCCCCCCCTCCAAGCGTGATTCATATGTACAAAACATGACGACATATGTGAGAGTTTGAAGCCAAAATTTTTTTGAAAACGATTCTAAAGCTTTTTACCCTGTATATTTATACATGTATGTAAATTTAAGGAGTAAACATGAGAATAATCAGGCTTAGGTTGAGCAAAATTACAAGGAGTTTATATTTTGCACAACAACAAAAAAAAAAAAAAAAAAAAAAAACTAAACAAACTTTTTATTTGTGATGTAGTTTTAATTTAATGTCACTATGGACACACATATAGGTGTTCAGTTACTAATACTTTATTTGTTGATAGGACAAATACTTTTATGCAGCAGGACGGTAATGTAACAACATGTATACGATTGAACATTTTTGTGTGAATTGCTTATTTGTTCATATCGGTTCCTGAGATCGTAAATGAAAATACACCGGCGGCTCATTTCGGCGGTTTGAACAAGTTTCTTAATGAGTACATCATACACTGGGCAAAGTGAAAGTAATGATGAAGATTTCGCACACAAAATACGCTCAGAACTTCTAATATGGTTCGATATTGTGTTCCGTTTTATGAAACCTTACATATTACATCCATCCATCTTCTACATTAGTACATGTAACTTATATATCTCCTAATCTAATACTGATAGAAATAAAACTCGGTTAAGGTTATAGGACACGGGTTGTTTACCTGTGAAGTTAATAGGTTGATTCCAGCTGATAAGACCAGGTCTCTGAAGAAAATATTTCAAGGCAGAAACACTTTTGGTGTGACATATATGGGTCTGTCTGAAATAGTTCAGCACCTAAAAGAAGTCATTAATGCATGTTATCAGGGGTCAAGAAAACCACGTCATGGCAATCTTTGAAAAGGTTGCAAGTAGTTTTTCTTTGCCTCACTCAATAAATTCTGTTCCCGTTCTGAAGCATAGCAATTATATCAGTACACAGTCTTTGACATTGACTACAAAGCATAAATTATATATCAAATAAATTATCAACAAACTTTAAGAAAAATATAAATGAATTATTAGTTATAAACCATTCTTATCTGCTTAAAATCGATCCGATTTAATTAAAATAAATAAAAATAATTTATTGTTCATGCCTAATAGAACAAGATAATGTTGATTTTTGTATCTGTAGGTAAAGTTTTCGCCGTTTACTATTTCATACAGTCCGGTATCCTGTACCTTATCGGGTGATTCAGGACGCAGTAGAATACAGTTCCATTTCGGCCAATTGTCCACTATTACTTCAAACCCGCTCAGATTGTCATCTAAAGCGTTCCTTATCACATAATATATCTGAAAATATAAAAGACGATAAAAAAGATGGGAGGAGGGTGCTTTTCAAAATACATGTATCTAGAGAACATCGGACAAATATACTTAATTTTATAATTCAAATTTATTCATAAATTGAGTTTTTCGATGGTAGGTGTATACCTTTATTGTACATTTAAAGAACTGGAGATAAGTTTATATACATGTATACAACTATATCACACAAGATGGCATCTCTATATAAGTGAAGAATTCTCGAATGCTACTTAAAACAACATATAGTCTATCACAACTTTCAAAACAATACCATATAAAACTTTTTTTATACATGTATATTCTCATTTGTAATACTTGATATTTTTAAGATTTCGAATCTTTTTTCATTTCCCAGATCGATCAAGGCTGAGTTTTAATTGCAGACATAATAAATTACTGATACAAATTGAAGATAACCACTCCTTTTTAAACACAGGAGGAAAAAATCAATAAAAAGACAAATATACAGCTGATTTTACCGATGCTTGTACCAAACACTTACAGATTTAATTAGTACATGTGTACCAGCTTTAGGTAACTAAATACAATTTGAAAGAGACAACTTCGCTTTCAATTTCAGTATTTTTTTTTCTCCAAAAAATACAAAAAAATTCCACTTTAGCAATAAGTAACACTTGAACTAGTTTTACCGAGTATTTATGAACCATAATTTAAAGCTAACCATGGCAATAGACCACGCACGAGTCGATGGCTTTGATGACAATACAGCATTATTGCTTTACAAAAAGGCTTATATACAAGCTGTTCTTATCAATATACCGGCCATGAAGAATGTGAATACAAACTAAACATGTTCCAATCCAGGAAGTTGCGACTTCTCAGATAACACAGAGATACTTAACGACAAGTCAAACTGACAAACGCATGTAGGGAAGAAACAGCATTGGTAAAAGAGACACACTTATCCACACTTGCAGTTTATATACAAACACACTAGTAAGCCGACGGAATGTATTGACGATTTAAAGTTTAACAGTTCACGAGTATAGTCACAATAACAGTACAAAGTTTGAACAATAAAAAGGCTTGAAAGGGGAAAAAGGACATTGCACTTAACAATATTATATATATATATATATATATATATATATATATATATATATATATATATATATATATATATATATATAGTTTTCTTTTTCCTGAAACAAGTTTGATAGGTAATATTGAAAAAGGAAGAATGAAACGTAGGAATATAATTATCATTTCATTTCTCTTTAATCAATAAAGTATTCCTTACACTACTGCGAACCCTGCTTCCCGATCAAAAGTTTGCCAGCGTTTTATTTTCTAAGGGACTGCATAATACTAAATATCACACATAAATGGAAATTCCGCTACCTTAGCTGTTCCCGGTAGTCCTAGTGATAATTCCTCCTTAAGCTGTCCTATCTCCTCCTTATGAAGGACTTTGTAAATCATAACACAACACTGCACAGTTTTCTTGCTATGTTCCTTTCTAGACAGCACAATTCTTTTTTTTGGCGAGCACCGTACACGTGATTGTTCGGCCAATGTTGGTGTTTCTCCAACGACCTGCGTCAACTAGCACGTGGGAGAAGTTTTACCAATGAGTGATCCGAGTCAAGGTTAGTTCACGCTTCACCAACATCGATTTTGTTTACGTATGGGAGCACATACCAGTACTAAATACATATAACTACGGCTTTCATAATATTGTGGTGTACCAAAATGAGATAATAATCTTTTTACAGCTGAGACACAGTTAGAATACAACACATATAACATTGCACCCACATTTTACTACAAGTAGAATCAGACAGAGACGGTGAGATAGAATACACCATGTACACAAACCCATAAAGTACAAAAATGAGAAGTCAATAAATTATTTGCACTCTTATTACACTTTTCATTAGAATTAAGAGGTTGTCCATTATGAGATCAGGCAATCGCTATTGTAGTGATTTATCTTAAATTGTGCATGTTATTCTCATTCTTTATTTTATTCATTCAGTTACTCACTCATTCATTCGGCGCTGCGCGATGCGATATAATAACACTTTGTTGTTTTTGTTCAGTGTCTCTAATAAACCTAAATACCCTTATTTTGTAAAATGTAGTATTTCAGGTGAACTAATACTGTACTGAATGGGTAATTCCATTATTTTTTGTAACATTGATTTCTATTGGTCAGTGTTGTTGAATGGTTTTAGGCTGGAATTGGTGGGAATTTCTTTATTATTCTTAAAGCTGGTTTTGGAAAGGGTGTAAGGCTTATAAGTCATGTAGCAATTCCTTTATTTTGGAAAATAACCTGCTCTTATTCCTGTAAGTAAATGCAACAAATAAATAAACTACTATGAATAATATTTTTATGAATGAGGAGTCTAAATGATTTAATCTAAACTTGCTAAATGAAGTATGGGCTAGTATGTGAAAGGTATAATTTATATAAGTTGATAAAATATATGCAACAATTATAATTGCAAGTTAACATTTTAATTTATTCGTGCATCCTAAATAAGGGATTTGTGAATCTGTTATAATTCTTACACATTGTTACATGTAATTAGGTCATTTTCATATCTGAGGTGCACTAGCAGTTTAGAGATTACATAGAAATTCACCTGGTTCCATAAACTGGTATGTGATGACATTGGATTAATATACATCTTCTTGTAATTACTGTAAATATTACTCCAGAGATAATTCTACATAGTTAGATAAGAAATATAATTTGATTGTAAAGGAGAGCTAGTTTATCAATTGCCTGAGGGATGTGCTACCTAATTATTTTAATAATATTAAATGGTGTAAATATAAATAACCTAATACACTAACATTAGCACATGCACCTCCCTGCATTTTTTGAAATACCAGATAATAAAAGAGATAATACACCCATTTTATGGGATTTAAAGTGAATTCCATGCTTATATAACCAGGTAGATTTTGGTTATAAAGTTATAAAACTAATTCCTGGACTATATCCGTTGTTTTGCGTAAACGGGGAAGAAGGAATGTTGGCGGTTAATACAGTGGCGGCGCTGTAGGGCCGTAATACATCGTAAACGGGAAAGGTGCCGTATTCCTTATGGTCTTAATTTCAATATGAAGTCCAAGAACTGGTAAAATCAGGTTTCCGGATTTATTATAGACGATAGTAAATAACAATCAACATGAATTTCAACAATAGTTTACAAGTCTTAACCGAGTTAGATGTGGCCAGTAGAGCATCGGGCCTCCAAACTGAAGAAGGTACATGTATTATGGACGTAGCTTTTAGTTAGATAGAGGCTAAACAATAATTGCATTATGACACTGGCTGAATTAATTAATGAACATGTGTATTTCTTTCATAGAATGGACATTAAAAGACCTTGCTAAATAATTATGTAAACAAAGTTATTGATATAAGATTAACAGGTACTGAGGCATTTACACCTAAAGAGTATCAATTCTTTTGACAGTCACTTAAAGTCAATTAAAATGTCTTATTCCTGCTTCAAAGCTATAAAGAGGATGAGACACGCTCAACTAAATAATAGACAATGATAATAGATAAAAACTTTAGCAGATAAACGTCCAAATTTGTGCAATATATTAAAACGTTATTTATTTCAAAAATATTAATTTTACTCGGTAATAATTTGGAGTTCCGTCTTATGCACCAACAGAGATTGGATGCACAATTTAGACGGTTATACTTATAACATTTGTATAAGGCTTGTGCTGTGATTCTTTTCACTATCTAGGTCTACTATATAATCTATAGAAAATGTACATTTCAAAAATGTAAATGATTTCTAATACAATGTATTCTGGGGGAAAAACCAATAGTAATATTTTGAGAAAGATCTTTAATGATAAAGATAAGAAAAAAAATGCTGCTATAATCATAGTTAAACACAGAATTTACCAGCAAAAGCACCCATAAAAGACTGATTTGAGTTACCTCCCTTGATATGAAAAATTAATTAAAAAAAACTATTCTAATAGTATAATTCGTTCGCGTATTTTAAAAAGTATTGAGTATTTATTTAAAAACCAAATGTAAAAAAGGATTCGGTTCTTCTAATATATATATATATATATATATATATATATATATATATATATATATATATATATATATATATATATATATATATAGCCCGGACCTTAAAACACTGTAAACAAATATGGTCGACATACGAGTGATGGAACAGTGTATCTTCGGCCAAAGCAAGGACCTATTTACTAATTAGTAATACTAAGTTAGTATATAGGTCCTTGGTAAAAGTGGCTACTGTGTTGGTGACCATCATTTTTAATTGTAAAAATGACTTTACCAGAAATTTAAGGTATCTTAAAGTAGGGGATGTGACATTGACATTTAACTCTTATTGACTATAGGTCAGGTTTTTTTGATGTTGAGGAGTCGTGCAGACGACTGCTTTTGATACATGTATGCCGCGGTCATCGCAATTCGTTGGGAATTTATTGGAGACAAACCACTACCACATGTCGCTATCCTCTCCACAATGGAAAGTCAAAACTGGACAAAGACGTGGATTTCAACAAGAAATATCTTACCTGTTCAAAGTCTGTGTTTCCGTTTGAAGAGGTAATTATGCTCAAATTGCCTCTGTGTTTTGTGACCCTTTCTTAGCTCTATCTTTGATTCAGGGAGGAATTTGATGCAAGTTCTTTTATTTTTCAATGCAAATCAATTCATTTTATTTTTTTTCCCGGTAGGTTTTTTTTTAGCTCTACTGTTCAGAGACCAGAAGAGCGTATGCGATAGTAAGTTGTCCGTCGTCTGTCTGTCTGTAAACGATTTTTCAAAATGCTACTCCTCCTACAGTTTTGGTCTGATTTCAATATAACTTGGCACACAAGTACACTACACTAAGATACATAATTCTGTTTATCGGTTTTTGAGTTCAATGAACGGTGTTGCCATGGTTACTAAAAATAGAAATTTCTGTGAAATACTTTCAAAATGCTACTCCTCCTACAGTTTTGGTCTGATTTCAATATATCTTGGCACACAAGTACACTACACTAAGATACATAATTCTGTGTATCGGTTTTTGATTTCGGTGAACGATGTTGCCATGGTTACTAAAAATAGAAATTTCTGTGAAATACTTTCAAAACTCTAACTCCTACAGTTTTGATCTGATTTCAATATAACTTGGCACACAAGTAGATTACACTGAGATACATAATTCTGTATATCTATTTTTTGATTTTGGTGAAGTGTTGCCATGATTACAAAAAAGCTGAAATTTCTTTGACATACTTTCAAAACATTACTTGTCACCCGCGTGGCGCAGTGGTAGAACGTTTGCTCTAGAGTCGCAGAGTAAGGAATTGATCCTTACATCGCGGGTTCGAATCCCCCTGTGGGACATGGAGACTGGTCCTTCGGATGAGAAAGACCGTATAAACCAAGGTCCCATGTCGCAGTAGGTGCTGGCACGAAAAAGATCTCTTACTGCTCAATGGCCCTGAGTGCCTAGCATAGGTCAAAATTTGCAACTCTCCACCGGCAAGTGATGGCGTCTCCATATGAGTGAAAAATTCTTGAGAGGGACGTTAAACCACAAACAAACAAAATATTACTTCACCTACAGTTTGGTCTGATTTTAATATAACATGGCATGCAAGTAGCCTACACTGAGATACATAATAGTCTTTACTTTTTTTGATTTTGATGAATGATGTTGCCATGGTAACTAGAATCAAAATTTCTCTAAAATTCTTTTAAAAGGCTACTCTTTCTACAGTTTTAGTCTGATTGCAATTCATCTTGCAACAAAAAGAGAGTAAAACAAGGATTATTATTTATTTATTGCTGTTGCAAAGTTTCAAGTCCAAGTGCTACTATTCTTTTCCTTTGTTATAAGTACAAATCAGTAGAGCTACAGTCTCCATAGAGACTTCTGGTTTTAATAGTAAACTGGTTCCTTTTGTAGAAATATGTAAAACAGATAGAGGAAAAATCCCTGCAATGCATAACTCAGCATTATAGCAAAATGTTTGAATAGTTATTTTCTTGAAACTTCCTTCTACGAGTATATTCAGAAGAATGGTCCATTAGAGGAATATAAAATGAACACGTACACGAGTAAATGTGTACAATTGATTTAGAGTCCTATACTGTCCATATGACATCCTTGCATTTATAAACACTCGTCAATCTTAACATATTCATTCTAGAAATGTGAAATTATATAATTGTATTTGAAACTCAGAGCAAGGAAGATTTTTTTTTAACTATATTACCTCGTTTAAACTCAGGGTGTAACGGTATATTACATGCAGGTTTGTGAGATGGATATACAAAAGACTTGAAAAAAATCTGCCCTCATGTGAAGTGACCAAAATAAGGAACACCTTTCCCTCTAAGCAACATTGGAGATCTAAATAACGAGTTTGAATGACTGTGAGACCATATGGATTGGTAACAATCAAAAATAGACTCTGTACATGTTAGAATAACACTTTATTAATTAAATCTGAAACGATGTTCTTCAATTGGATGTTGCCTATTTATCATTGGTCCGGATTGTGCGATTAAGCTGTGTACGCCTTTCTCTGTCTTCCAACGCAGTGGCCCTTCTTGCGTCAGCAAAGGAACTGTTTGCCTCTCTGCGGAAAAGCAATTCTTAAAAGAGCTCGTCAACGTAAAAATGTTTTCCATATATATATAAAAAATAATGTGTCACAAACCTGAATTGACTTTGCAATTATTGGAACTAAAAATCATTTAAAATGCTGTAACTTTCAAAATTATGAAGATGCAAACTATTGACACTATTCAGAAAATATTTGCTTTCACTCTGAATATTTTCAGAATCATTGTTGATTTATTATATTTTATCGTAGAAAAAGGGGACGCTGACTATAGTTATGGGAATTCATCCTTTTAAAGTTAAATTTAGCCAACAAAATAAACTTATGACTAGATTATATGTTGTTTGAATCATTTTGGAGCTGCTGCTGACTACTGTGTAATCCAGTTTGGGTTGAGCATTTCCATCTTCTTCTTCCTCAGCTTCACTTATACTGGTAACATTCTCTGTTGAGAAATCAATACACTGGGAGACATTCTTTAGAGCAAAGGCTTCATCTAGAACCTGTGAAAAAATCTACCTAATGTAAAATCATGACAAAGTCCTAATGCACGTTACAAAACAAAATCTTGATGGATTTACAGTTTTATATCTATTTCCCACAGCATGCTTTTCTATCACATTACTTTCAAAGGGTGGATTATAATTAACTAATTGTTTATCAATTATAATTCGCCTTGAAATATTTATATATTTATATGCCAAAGATACAATAGAATGTTTTTTTACATGAATTCATACACGCCTTGAACTTTTTTATAGCCCAAGGTAAAATTAAGTGAAAAAAATCTATCAGAGTTTAATCTTACAATGAATTTGATACAATCTATTTAAAATTAGATGTTCCGAAGATATATGATAATTATTATAATAGTTATTTATTTATAATAGTGACTTGTGTAATTATATATTAAAAAATAATTCATCTTAAATATAAAAAAGACAGAAACTTTACACCCTGCCCTTTGGGCCTATAAGTCGCCTGGATTTAAATCAAACATTTTCCTTCACGGACTAACTATGTATGAACATTGTGTATATCATTGATAAATTTACTTGGGCTCATAAGAATGATATAGTAGAACGTTTGTCAATTGTAACAACAGTTATTTAAACTAGATGCTGTCATGAGACAGTAATACCCGCACTAAGGTGTTTCCCTCTAAATGCACACTCCTTCATATTGGGCTTACCAAGGAAAAAGTCCAAATAATTCTATAATTTACACAGTACATGTATTCGTCAAATCGAGCATAAAATGCTCAGGTGACCATGTGACCCATGAACCTCTTATACGCATTTCATATACTTAATTCATTACCAGTCTGAAATATCAGAATTTAATTAATGTTGTAAATTAGGTTTTAATAAAAAGGGGGGGGGATATAAATTTTTGGCCCATAATTGGAACTTTTTAAATTAAATTTATCTTCTCAACAACAAATAATATTATTTTAGTACAAAGCGTTTTTGATGAATTTATCAAAATGTGCAAACTTTTTTTAGTATTTGATTAGGCAAAAACCTCCTTGAAAAGCCATACCCAATCAATTTATATGTGTTCCCCCCCCCCCCCAAATACACACACACACAATTTGCCTGTTTTTGGAAATAGGCCTAGATGGCAAAGTTATGTTAAAACATCGTTTGTTATGATAATTTAAAATTTGTTCTTGTACTGTACATGTATGTGAACACCTTTTTGAAAATTTCTACATCACATTGGGCTTGCGTCACCCTACCAGTACTAGTACTAGTTTTACCATTATCATTTTTAGATTGCACATGCCATGTGACATGGTGCAGTGTTACATGTATATCAGTGGAAATTAATTCATTTTGTGTTTTAATTGGATTATATTTCATGAAGTTGACAGGACCTATGACAGTCGGTAAGTACAAGTTTAAGTATAGATTGGGGTAAAATAAACCAAAATGCAAATGGTTAGGTTAAAGTTTAAAAAGGATCAAAGATCATCGGCAATCTCCTATGCAGAGTTGTCGTTCGTTTCTCTCTCAGACACTGAATGTATGAGCCGATCGTAGAGAGTGGATCATCGATGCCACAATAGACGAATTTCACATTCTGAAGAGTTATCTCCCGTTGTCGACATTACATTCAGTTACAGGCATAGATCCGGGAATTTTTTTCCGGGGGGGAGGGGGGTCCACACCTCGGTCCAAAAAATTTCCAGCCCAGAATTTCCTGAGGAGCAAAATAAAAAAAAACCAAACAAACAAACAAAATAAAAACAATGATGGTGGGGTCCATGTTTTTAAAGGGGGAGGGCATCCAAAGTCATTTTTTATTTGCTTCTGTAAATCAGTATATAGTCCTATTTAAATAACTCTGCAAATTCCAGGGGGGGGGGGGTTCCAATCTCCCTAGCCGCTCCCTGTCCCTGAAATGACAAATGATCATGCGACTCCTAAATAGTAGAAAATTTTTCCATTTGACTAGACATAATTTTGTTTCTTGTGTTATTATGTTATGTACATCTAATGGTTTAAGGTTATGAACCCTTGAGGTCATCCCCACTCTCTTGTTCATAATATGACTACATCAAATTAAATAGAAGTGCATCAATGATAAGATTACTTGACATTTCATTCATGAATTTGGGTCAACCTAGAATTAGGAATGAAAATCATTCAAAGAGATGGACCATTAAACTATTTGTATGTATTCACATTTTTTTTATGTCAAACCAAAGTATTAGACTAGTTTGCATACATGAACAAACTGGGGTCTGGGAAGGGGAAGGGGCAAGGGGAAGGAGTTATCTCTTTACGTCTTAATTAATTGTTGAAAATTCCTAAAATGAATGTTAACCTTAAATCCGACTTGTACGTCTTCATTATTTTTAAGTGGTGGTGTCTCCGTATGAGTGAAAAATTCCCAAGAGGGACATTTAACAACAAACAAACATTAATGACTTAAAAAACACAATATACATGTACATGTTTATTAGTCAATGGATATACTTCTGATCATATCTCTAGTTCTCCCTTGAATCAGAAATGATGATATAAATATTTTAAGAATGATTAAGAGTTGAAAAGGTTGTGCATTTTAAAATTCACTAAGCTCTGTGGTTGAATTAGCTATACCAGTTTAGCTTATTTTGCTACTCAAAGCACCTTGATTAACTATTTTTAATCATACTGTTTTCTGAAATGTGAAGTTTTTTCAACATGGATACAAGTCATACCTTTTCAGCTTCTGAAAACAATTAATGCATGAAAAAAAAACTGCTTTTCAAATACTGTAACTCTTTCCAAGTACTTGTGATCATCAGTTTTTAGCTCACTTGAGTTTTTCTGGTTTTCTGATCACATTTTGTTTGTCATTCATCTGTCCGCCTGTAAACTTTTCACATTTTTGTCTTCTTCACTAGAACCGCCGGGCCAATTTCAACCAACCCAGCCACAAAGCATCTTTGGGTAAAGGGGATTCAAGTTTGTTCAAGTGAAGGGTCACACCCTCTTTCAAGGGGGGATAATCAAGAATTAGTGAAAATTTGGTGGTATCATTTTAAAAAAGTCTTATCAAGAACCACTGACTGGGCCCAAAAAGTTGAAACTTTCTTTACATAGACAGTGTAGCTTCAAATTTGTTAAAATTATGACCCACTGGGGTAGGATGGGGCCACATATGGGGATCCAATGATTTACATAGAAAAATGCAGGGGATTTTTTCCATCATAAATCTTCTTCTCATGAATAGCAAGGGCATTATTGTCATCCGTTTTCACAAAAGGGACCTAGGGGACATTAAATCTCATTTGTCTGTCAGTCTGTCCGTTTGTCAGTCTGTCCGTCTGTCACAATAAATTTAACCTTGGTCATAACTTCTGAATAATAAGAGATAGGGATTTCATATTTCACATGTACATTACCTACAAGAACTTTCTAAACATACCATGATTTTTGAACCCATGACCTTGACCTTGAAGTTTGACCTACTTTTCAAAAAATTTAACATTATTTCAAATGATCATTTTGAAAGAGAAAAGATAGGGTGTTCATATTATACATGTATATTACCTGTGACAAGACCTTTCTAAATATATCATGACTTTTGACTCTGTGACATTGACCTTGAAGTTTAACCTACTTTTCAAAAATGTTATATTTCCTTATAACTTTTGATTGAGAAGAGATAGGACTTTTATATTTGACATGTACATTACCTGTAACAATATGTTTCCAAACATGCTATGATTTTTTACCCCTTGACCTTGATGTTTTACCTAATTTTCAAAAATTTTAACTTTGGTGATTACTTTTGAATGACATATGATAGGGCGTGCATATTTGAAACAATATGTCATAAATAATGGCATCCCATCCACTAGGACACGGAAAGCAGGGGACCACAATTCTTTGAATTTGCTTGTTAGTCATTTTGATATGGAAACATCCTCATATAGTGTAGATTCAAGTTTTTTATGCCCTGCCATGAATATGGCCGAGGCATATAGTGTTTGTCATGTCCGACTTCAATAAAACGTCATATGCTGATACATACTGATGTAAGCTTTTCAACTGCATCAAAATTTTTGACCTTGAATTTTCCTTTGACCTTGACCTTACTTTTCTTAAATTAGTGTCTAGATCAGTTTTGAATAAACAATTCAAGATATATTTATCAAACTTCATATGCTGATATAATTATACTGCTGAGAGATATCAATTGCATCAACTTTTTTGACCTTGACTTTTCCTTTGACCTTGACCTCACTTTTTTAAATTAGTGTTTAGGCCAAACAAAAAAATATGTGTGGTTCCGGTTACACTTCCAAAAAAATTAGGGTAGGTAGGTAGGGATTTTTATTTTTTTTTAATTTTTTTTAATTTTTTTTTTTTTAACAAAATGATTTTCTTAATTTTTTTTTCTAAATAGTACCTATCACTGCTTTGCAAATGGCATTTAGATGTGGTGTGATAATATACTAGTCAATATTGGTAGGGGACACCTACATGCTAGCTTGCTTTGGATTTAACACTATTAAACACTTGCACTATGTTTTGCAAGGAGGCCGTCATTGCTGAAACTAAAACTTAAACTGGAGCCATTGATGGAAATTGGGGGAAATTCCGGAAAAATATGAAAATTGCCAAAAAAAGTTTAGGGTCGGGGGTATAAAATAGGGAAGGTCGGGTAACCCGAACCACACATATTTTTTTATTTGGCCTTATCTACATTTTAAACAAGCATTCTGAGAGTATTGCATTAGCAATACTAGTCCCCTACCGGCAAGTGTAATCTGGTTCCCGTTAAGAATTGAAAATGCCATAATTCCATCAAAAATCAATGAAGCGGGACGAAATGCAAACTTGATCTATAACTAATCAAAGTTAAGTCACATACCAAAAATCAGCTCAATATCTGAAAGCGTTAAGAAGAAAATTGCGGAAATCCCCTAAAAATTGAAAAGGCCGTAATTCCGTCAAAATTCAATGAAGCGGAACGAAATGCAAACTTGATCTGTAACTCA